ACCCCAGAACTTCTGCAGTGTGTCTTCAGTGGCAAGAGGACAAGCAGTAGCATGAAGCCCGCGTCATGTGCAATGTGGCTTCATAGGCATCTGTTCCGTCCGGAGATAAATCCCAAATACAGGAGCTGCTGCTCTTGGATGTCTGTTCCTCTCTCTTGACGTTGGAACTGCTCCTGAATTCCAGCTCACGTTCAGGCTTGAACCCACCATCGTCAACCAAGAGAAATGGACGTCACCCGAGCCCAGTGTGCGTATCCAGTGACCAAGGACAGCGACCTGCTAAGCAAGCCTGAGCTCATGGGCATCGCTCCTGCACCTGCTGTTCCTTAAATGGAAGGCACCTGTGGTGTCCATGCCGGTTACATCCTCACCATGCCCGAAAGGAACACGGGACAGGGGACCGAGATTGCAGAGGCGAGAGATGGAAACATGAGGCCAAACGAGAAGCAGAGAGTGGGACGGTCGGGAGCCCCCTTGGTCCCACTCCACCCCTGTGGAAGGTGGGACTCTTCAATGTAGTATCGATAATGAGGATGGAGGAGCTCTTAGGTGCAGGAAAAGGTACTTCAAGAATCGGATCGCTGACAAGGAAGCGGTTGAGCCCCTGGAGAGGCTAGTGAAGGTGAGGACGCCACGGGGCTGAAGAACGGCCCCGCCCAGGGTGTCCCCACCCTCGCCCTGGGACCGGGCTACGTTACAGAGCAAGAAAGCGTCTTTGCGGAAGGGATGTAAGTTAAGGATCTGGGAATGGGGAGGTGATCCTGGATGATCGGATCAGCCGTAAATGCAGCTGCGGGTCTCCCTGTAGGAGGGGTGAGGGAGGTTGGTGCCCACAGGACAGTGGGAAGGTGCGTAGGTGGAGCAGAGAGATGTGGAAGGCACCGGTCCTAAAGGTGGGGTCCTGTGGCCGGAGGCCAAAGCCTGTGGACAGATGCCAGCGGCTGGAAGGGGCAGAGCACAGCTTGCCAACACCTTGATTTCAAGTCGATGGAGCTGTTCGGACTTCTGCCTCCAGAATGGTTGATTTAAACCACCAAGTCTGGGGCCACATGTCACGGCAGCCATGAGGAGCTAGCCCAGACCCCGGCGTTACATCGGGTGACATCAGCGCACGGAGGGGCCCGGGGGCTTCTCTCTCCCTCTGCGGAGGCCCGTCTTCTGCGGGAGCAGCCTGGCCGCGAACGGACCAGCGGCCAAACAGAAGACGCTCCGCAGTCGCCATAGTGAAGGACCCCAGCTTGCAGCAGGTCCGTTCGGTGACGGATGCCGACAGACGGATTGGCGTCTAGATGGTCGTATTGTCCCGTGTACTGACAACCTAAAGCGCGCACTTGTATCAGGTAACAGCTAGGACATGGGGTTTACGTCCTGAAGCGTTTGATGGAGAAAGAGAAGGACTTGACAGATTGCACTATAAGTAGTGAGTTTTTTCAGTGCCAAACCGATGAAGGGTTCAGTCGTGTCCTTTGAGACGCATGAGAATGCAGCGTGTAAGAGGAAAGAGGTCACGCTCCCGCGATGGTGCAGGTGAGCCGGCAAACCATTCTGCTCCCGGGCTGAGACGAGACCCGTGGAGGCAGTAGCATGACACCTTTGCACGGACGCCTCGAGGTTTCAGGTCATGTTTAGACAAGGAGCGTGCTGTCTTGTTTCATTTGCCTGTGATTTGGAGGGAGAGCTGCTGGGGAGCTCCCAGAACCCTTCTCTAGGAAAATGTCCGCCTGTGGCTTATGGTAAAGCCAGTGAAAGGACGGAATTTCCCAAGCTTGGTGCATCAGCCTCACCTCGGGTGGTTTTTACAAATGCAGATTCCTGGGCCCGTCATCGGATTCTGACGTGGCGGACAAGGGGTATATGGCTAAGAAACACGAAGCTTGTCAAAGTCCTAACAAGCAAAGTGAAGCGCTTATTTTTAGGATTGTTGGAAGAGACAAAAAGAACATTCTGAAATAGAAATAGCCTTCTGTAGACCACTCGCGAGTTCTCTCCTTTACACAACCTCCGTGGAGCTGGGAATAGAAATGTCTGTGTCTTTGCTGTTAAAGTGAAGCCGCATTTGCTTCCTTCATTTATTCCAAACCAAAATAATCAATTGACAAGGTTTGGATATCTGCTTAGAGGTGATTTTCTCACACTGGGGGATTTTACTTGTAATTTAAGACTTCACGTTATGTAGGGGCGCGTGAGTGGCTCTGTCGGTTAAGCATCTGAATCTTGATTTCAACTCAAGACATGATCTCAGGGTCATGGGGCCGAGCCCCAGGTTGTCCGGCTCCCCACTCAGCGGGGAGTCTGCTTCTCCCCCTCTTCCCCTGCTCCCCCAGCTCACGCTCTCTCTCTCTCTCTCTCTAAAAATAAATAGGTCTTAAAAGAAAAAAGAAAAAAACCTCACATTATGTGTTAGTGTGAATAAGGAAAAAAGCCTTTCGCTTCAATTGCATGTAAGCTGTGTAAAGAGTACGTGGGGGTGGGGCCTGTCATTATATCATTCCACGTATTTTTGTCTGTGCTTGAAATACTCCGTTGTAAAAATTTTGTTGTAAGTCTAACAAAGGGGAAGAAACAAATGTCCTGGGGCTGCTGAGTCTTCACATAGTCGTGCGAGTGAGAAGTACAGGGGCCACAGCCGACTTTCAAGCCGAGGGCCTGTTTCCCGTGCTGTTTCCCCAGTCTGCTTTTCTGACACCCAGAAGCCAGCTGAGCGTGTCCGCTCTCTCCCAGCAGGAAGGGGAGATGGTGCCCAGCTTTCTGAAGGCTTGACTCAGTTTGGCACTCGGGAGATCTCATCTTAACGACAGTGTGAGCGTGTTCTTAGGATACGTAGGTTTTGGTTCCAGCCCTCAACGCTGTGCTGCGGAAAAGCAGTGGCAGATTCTCCCGATAGAAGCTGATACGCATTAAGCTTGGTTGTGTAGGAGGAAGCACATCGGATACAACCAGAACGCATCGCAGATCCCGACGCTCGTCCCATGTAGGGGCTGTGTCACCATTGCCAAATGACGTTCTAAGCAAGAATCCTAATTGCACGGTGCAGGAGTTTAGCCTGGTCAGATGGCCTTTCTGTATACATCCGGTCTCTGAGATTTCAAAAGATTTTAAGAAATCTTTGTCTTTGTTCTAATATCCTCACATCCTAAGAACTCCAGCGTCTCGGTGAGCGCTGCCAGTTCCCAGCAACCTCCAGGCAGGAGCCCCTGTCTGCCGACCTAGTTTGTGGTAGTGGAGGTGGGGGCCCTCCCAGTTGCTTTAAGGTAGTTTCTGCTCCTCACCACCAGGCAGTGTGTATTAGACCAAAGGCCGTTGAGAAAATACCCTGAGAGATAACTTTTCTATGAAAGCCCTATAAACATTCTCATTTTCCTATGCATTTGAACTCAAGTAAGTTAGGGTCCGACACATTTATCTGAAAAATTTGTGAGGTCTAAGCCTCCTGCCGTGGGGTTTTTGTCTCACCGAGAGCTTCAGAACTGCTCAGAGAAGCCACAGATGGGAACGTTCATCTTCTCATTTCCCGTCATGGCCTTAGAACTCGTCCCTCCCCTCTGCTGCGTTACTTCTCCCACCTCGAAAGAACGTGGTGTGGTCTGGAAGGACTTAGAACTGTCACGACTGTGACAGGTTAATAGATAATGGGCATTACTTCACAAGTGATTCCTGGGCTAAAAGCAGTTGGCAGGCTCTGAGGTTTCATTCTGAAATCTTAGCTGAGAGTTACCGGCAAAGCACCGTATTTTAAAATTATATTTAAAGCAAGATCAGAAGGCATTCTGCAGGCTGATTTAGTGTCTAGTTAAATACCAGCATCTTTTATGTGCTTGCACGTCATTTTTCATTGCTTTCTGCTAGATGTGAAGAATTAGAATGGGCATTCTCTTTTGCAGAGGTTCAAGCTAGATTTTTTCTTTTAAAGAAAAAGTCCTGTTTCAACATCCCTCTGACTTTTCTCCCCTCTAAGAGATAATGTGCTGATACGTGAAAAGCCACTGGAGTAAGGGAAACATTTGGTCAGCATGTGTTTAAGTCAGGCCTGTGTTTTCAGGTTAGAAAATTCCATTGGTTATTTCCCCACCTTGATTTTCTCCAAATTGTTTTTTTAAATGCCCATAGATGATGATAGTGATAATGAGATGATGATTAAAAAGGAACCGGGGCATATTTTCTTTTAAAACCTATAAACCTCACACCTGTGTATCTTCTTGAGAATGCTTAGCCCGTATATGGTATTATAACTGGAAAGAGAAGTTTGAGTTTCCCTTTTTCTTTTTTTTTTAAGATTTTATTTATTTGTCAGAGCAAGCATAGGCAGAGGGAGAGGCAGGCTCCCCACTGAGGAGGGAATCCAATGTGGGGGTCAATCCCAGGACCCCAGGATCATGACCTGAGCCTAAGGCCACCGCTTAACCAACTGAGCCACCCAGGCATCCCAAGAAGTTTCAGTTTCTAATGCAAAGGTTAAACATGGATTGGAAGACAGTTTTGACCAAGATTCTGTCTTGATTCTTGAAGTCTCTTTCCTAAACATCTAATTTAACACAATATTAAAAGCTTTAAACACCGTGACCGTGGGGTCTTCATTACACCTTTCTGCACTGCTTCTTAACTTGTCTCCCCCATGCTTCCCTGAAATCACCTAACCTAATCGTAACTCAGACCAACTGCCCAAGATGCCCAAGACCCCAGTGACAGGGCATAAAGTCGCTTCTTCTGCCTAATGGCCAGACTTCTGGGCTATTTAAGCCTTTTTTGTTGTCAGTCATACAAATTCTCCTTCTGAATGGGCTGTCTATAAAACAGAATCTTGGCCGGGTAACTCATGCGTTTTTAAAATGTTCTCCAAGTGATAGAAATGGCTCGGTAGGGAAGCCAAAAAGTGTTTATACAGTTTCTCTTAGAGAAATAAAATTCTTTATCCTAGATCGGATGTCCAGTTTTCACAAGATGATTGCTGAGAAGGTTATAGGCGGCGTCTGTGTTAAAAAGCATTGCTTTCTGTTAACTAGAGATGTGCAAGCAAGCCAGCGCTCCATAGCCTTAATTGCAGAAATGATCCACACCGCTAGTCTGGTACACGACGATGTCATCGACGACGCAAGTTCCCGGCGAGGAAAACACACGGTTAATAAGATCTGGGGTGAAAAGAAGGTACGGTGTTTTGTTTCCTTTTCATCTTCTGACCTGTTCACATGCTCTTTGGATTGCATTAACTCTTCAGATTTGTTTCATTAAAAAGTAAAATACGCTTCCTGGAACGCAGCCTTCCAACTTCCAAAACAGTAGTCATGTCTTGTCTGTGTATATACATTTGATAATAGAGAAAACCACAGAAAAAATAAGCTTCAGGTTTCTGGTTAGTCACACTTCTATATAGAATTCCTTTTGGTTATAGGGAAAGTGATTTTTGTTGTTATCCAAAAAGCATATTTCGCGAGGAACCATACATTTTACTTTGGGGCACAGATTACTCAAGGTCAGTTTAATTCTTTAACCATTTACAGACTGCCATGTGCCAGGGTGTCATGGCAAGTAAATGAGTAAAGCTGAACTATATGTGTGTGTGTTTGTGTGTGTGTGTATATCTTAAATATAGATATGTGAAAATATACACACACATACACATATACTGTGAAAATTACACATTTTTAAACAGAGGCTCTATAATTGAGTTCAGTTCATATATGTATATTTTAAAGCATATTTCCACGGTATTTTTTAGGATCTCTTGAAAAGGGTATGTAGAATGGGGACTTTTGCCTAAAGATACGTAAGTCACGAGTTCAGACGGGAACGGTGCCAAATGAGTGGACACGGAGACATGCAGACATTTTGTTTGGAGGCGGTGGTCCCCAGCGCACACCTCCGTGGGCCGCCAAACAGCATGAGTGCGAATGAGGTTTCCCCTGCTCACCTGCCCTCACGTGTGTATAGGACCTGGTTCCCTCCTGTTTTCCTATCGCCCTTATGAAAAAGATGTGTATCATAATTGTCACCTTCACATGCTGGTTTTGCTTTGGGGTGCATGACTTTGCTATGTATCGAGTCCTGCGATCTCATTTAAAATCTTTTTAAAGATTTTTCACATTTGAAATAAAAGGTTTTTTGTCCTATTGACAGAATTCCATACATCAGAATGTTGTTGGAAAAAAAAAGGTGTGTTGGGGGGGTGCAGTTTCTTTCTGGAGAGATCACGGGTAACTCTGTGACATGTCCCTGCAGTCAAATGTCTGTTTTCAGGGCCTGTCCTAAAGCCTTATTTAAGAGTACAAATTCGGGTCTTCTACTTGCCTAATTAGTCGTCCCCACTGTGATCACCTCTGCTGTTGGTGGCCTCTTCAGCCTGAGACTGGTCTGGCAGGCACGCCCTGCCCCTCAGCCTCCTTCCCTTTTCTGCCTCCCAACAGAAAGTACTTGTGTTTCCAGTAAAAATCCATTCATGCGGCGCCCCCTGCAGGAGCCCTCGGTACCTTGCCCGGGTTCCAGCCCGCCCTTCAGTCCCTCACCCACGGCTCCCCAGGGCCCAGTCTGGCGGCCTCACCTTCATACGTGGGAAACTTTTGGCCTCTGGGATCCCTGGGCCTGAAGAGGAAAGACATAAAACCCTAGAGATCCAGAGCCCTAATGATGGGGGGGTCGGTGACGGATTCCTCTCCATCATCATGGGTGCAGCGACTATAAATGTGTGTTTATATTTAGGTCGAAATAATTTGTACAATATGTTATATAAAATGACCAACAGGTAAACATACTGAACATCGCTAATTTTAGATACTAGAGAAAAGACAAAACAATTAAAATGTGATGTTGAAAATTCTATGAATTAAAATTTCTGTGACATCCAGTCTTTGTAATTTGTAATTATATTAATTATAATAAAACTCAGGCATATCTTTAAATAGGCAAACGAGTATATTTGATTACAGTGTATAATTCAGTTATGTATAATTTAAAACAACCTGTAAGTACAGTATGGGCACCTCCTCCCAGTCTAAAGATTAGAAAAATATCGATTATCTAATGTTGACTACAAAAAAGTTTGTCTAGGAACAAGGGGCAGTGAACTTGGAACCAGGATGCCTAGGTTTGCTTTTCACTTGAGAGAAGCACGCGTTGTGCCCTTTGCTGGGGTGTGCCAAGCACCCGCTGAGATAATTCCCAGCCCTGCGCTCAAGGAGTTGGGTAAATAGGGGCATGGCTAGTTGAAGACAACTGAGAAGACAGCAGCTGCGTGCACATAGAGGAAGGGCATCTGCAGGCTGAGGGATCCTGGTGGACTTCCTGGAAGTGTCACCCGAACTAACTGTGCAGCTGAGTCTGCCCAGTCAAGAAGGGGAAAGGCTTTCTGAGTAGGAGAGAGACAGTCGTGGCTTGAGGAAAGTGTGAATGTTCCAGCGCGGCTGACCCGAGGGCCGCTGGACCCTGGTGCAGCCAGGGACAAAGCGAGAGGGTGAGATGCCCGTCTGTCTCCAGGCACTCACTTGCTCTGCTCTGAACTGGAGAGGAAGACCAGGTGATCTCTGAGCTCCAACCCATGCTGGCGATGACCCGAATGTGTAACTGATTATTACACGGACTCTTGCTGAGGACAAGGTGGGGGAAGACTTAGAGCCAAGATGACCCCTGCCTCCCAACCCCAATGTCTCCGAGGGGCCAGCTCTGCTGTGGGGTCCGCTGCTCTGATACCTTTCTCCAAAAGCTTTTTTTTTTTTCTTCTTCTTCTAGGCTGTTCTTGCTGGTGATTTAATTCTTTCTGCAGCATCTATAGCTCTGGCACGAATTGGAAATACAACTGTGATCTCTATTTTAACCCAAGTTATTGAAGATTTGGTGCGTGGTAGGTTAATTCTGACTTTTCTTCTTTTTTATTCAGTCCCAGTCTAATGAGCCAGGCAGTCAAGCCGTATCACAAGTGACCCCTTTCTTTCTTTCTTTGTAGGTGAATTTCTTCAGCTAGGGTCAAAAGAAAATGAGACCGAAAGATTTGCACACTACCTTGAGAAGACCTTCAAGAAGACCGCCAGTCTGATAGCCAACAGTTGTAAAGCAGTATGTACGTTCTGTCTTTGTTCACGTTAAAAAAAAAAAAAAAAAAAAAAAGCCTCCTAGCTCTTTCTTGGGAGCTGCTCTTCATGGGGAGCATTTCCCTGGAGAACCTTCAGATAGTAACCCAAATCCCACGAGGTCATTGAGAAAAGAGTGACAACCCCGAAAAGCGGAGAACTTCTGCCGCGGGGCTTGTTTTTGTGGTCTTCTCTTCTTTGTGGTTTTTGTGAACTGGCAGACGTTCACTTTTCGTCTTTCCTCCCCAGAGTGGAATCCGAATAAGCCCTCTGCACCTGGTCTCACCTCCAAACTGTGTGACATTTTGAACAACTTCTCATAAATAATTTCTTTCCCAATTGTTGTCCCGTATACCATTTCTGACATTTTACCCTTAAAAAGTGGCCAAGTGCTGTGTTCTGTAATAACACTGTTTGCCCAGGAGAAAATGCCTATTAGATTGTCCTAGGGTTCTTCGTCCTTTGTTATGAGTAGTAGATCCTTTTGGGTCTTTTTGCATGAAATATAAACGGGCCATTTTCCAGGGCACCCGGGTGGCTCAGTGGGTAAAGTGTCCCGCTCTTGATCTTAGCTCCATCCTCGATCTCAGAGTCCTGAGTTCAAGCCCAGCAAAAAAAGAAAAAAACAAAAAACAAGCCATTTTTCTTTGGCTATAAGTCAAGTATGAACCATAACTTTTTCTCTCTCTTGCTTTCTTTCTCTGGCCTTCCCTCCGCTCTTCTTTTTTTAAAAAGTCTGTAGTCTCCTGAGTCTGTAGACTACAACCTGCGGCATTCAGTGCCAGCCCTTAAATGAGAGCTGGTTCTTGCCATAGCATTGCTCCTCTGATGGTATCCCCGCCTAACCAATGCGGCAGTGACGGATCCTGGGCAGGCACCAGCCCGTCGCGATCAAAGCAGCGGTGAGGGAGCCCTCCGGGGGAGGTGTACATTGCTGCTCTCGTGCTCTCGTAATTAACGAGGGCTCTTCCTCAGGCCTCTCCGGTGAGAGAGGCCCCTTGCCGCTAGAGTCTCCATTCCAAAAAGTGTCAAGAAAAGGATAATAGGGACTCCTGGAGGCTCAGTTGGTTAAGCCGCTGCCTTCGACTCAGATCCTGATCCCAGGGTTCTGGGATCGAGCCCCGCCTCAGGTTCCTTGCTCGGCAGGGTATCTGCTTCTCTCTCCGCCTCTGCCTGCTGCTCTGCCTGCTTGTACACTCACACACTCGCTCGCTCGCTCTCTCTCACAAATAAATAAAATGTTAAAAAAAAAAAAAAACGGATAATAGTCATAAAAGGATGAGGACATTTTCTTTCTAAAAAGATGTAATGGAAACTCTAAGATATGTGAATTATGTAAACATGCTGGCCATGATTTTAGCCATTTTTGTCTTTATTGAAAGGGCCAACATTTTCTTTTCAAGGAATTGCAAGTGTGTTTTTTTTAAATAGATGGATGAAAATATGGTAGAAACTAGAATGCTGAATAAACGAATGAGTCATTTTAAAAGGGGGTGCCAGAAAGCTGTTACCTTAACCCTTCATTGGCCATCCTCTGATGGTCGAGGTCTCCATGATGTTGGAGTGTCCACCTCGTAAGGCACGCTGGGGCGCTCGGTGAGGCTCACGGATGAGACAGCAGCAGCAAGCACTGGCGGGTAGCGGGGCTGCTCAGACTGGACACGCTGAGAGTCGTCATTCCCACAGAGTGGACATCCCACAGGCACAGGGCCACAGCTCTCCATGAGAACCAGGCAGGTGATCAAATCCCACGGAGAGCCAAGGAGATGGGCCCGAGGCACCAAGGAAGGCCTGGATTGCAGTCCCTATCCTCTCTGGGGAGCCAGAGACGTTCTGTTCACAGCACACATAGTTGTTCATAAACCGCACCTCGTGCTTTACAGTTTATCAAAGCACCAGTAGATGGGGTATGAACAGGGCTCAGTCCTTTTTAAAAAATGAAATGCTTTATGCTCTCCACTAGGAGGCATGCTGGCATCATCCCACAATGACCCACTTTTCCTGTGATTTATTCCCAAACCCCGGAACTGTTAGAGTAATAAAGCAAAATTATAGTGTGTGCGTTCTACATGAAAGATTCTATATTTAAGTGCCTACGGGTAGAATATTCCAGAGGTGTTACATATTTAACATGGCTGTTTTTATGTACTCCTGGTATTCAAAATGCAAAGACATGGGGCTCCAAAAGTTCATGCAAAGCAAACTAGAAGCGCCCAGAAGAGGGACTACAGAGAATTTAAACAGAATTATTATGGAAGAACTAATCAGAGTCTAAGAAGTTATGGGAGTTGGAAGGAAATTTGAGCAGCTTGTAATTTATTCTATTAAAGACACCTCCACCCCCTCCCTGAACCACTCCTTGTATTTTTAATAGAAATAGTGTAAAGTCTGAGAGAGGGCTATCTAGGAATGTTTTAGGACAGTGACTGATAGGAAAATAGTAGTGATATTTTTAAATGAGTGTTATTTGTATACATAGTCACGCAGAATACAGTTGAGCTTCCAATGAAGGCTATGATTTGTTCCCCAGATAATCTGATGGGAATGAGATCTGAGAGGTCCAGTGGCCATCCAGTGTTAGACAGTGGCTGAGCTGGGATTCGAACCCAGAACTAGGGTACTGTAATCCTGCATTCGTTTGTTTTCCATCCTTCCTTCCTTTTTTTTCATTCTGACTTTCTCCTCTCTCCAGTGCTGCATAAGCCCTGGTTCCTGTTACTTTATTTTCAAAGCCACAGTGCACCACTTAGAGGATTTTCTTTTGTGGCTCGTATTTGCCCAACACTGACTTTTGGTACAATATTCTTACCTAACCTGCAGATAGATCTTATTCCTATTTTGCCTACTGTCATAATACTGTCATGTGAAAGGGGAAAATCTTCTGGTTCGGGATCCAGTCCCGGTTCTCATGTTGGATTTAGCGGTCCTGAATCTTTAGTCTCTCCGTCTGGAACACTTCCCTGGGTATTTTGAAGAGCGCAGGCAGGTTGTCGTCGAGCCTCTTGAGTTGAATTGGTCTGTTGCTCTGCACGCTGAGAGACAGGTTATGCATTTGGGGCCGGAAAACAGCAGAAGGGATGCCGCCGCCTCGGTTTGTTGTGTCCAGGGGCACGTGTCCTGTTACTGGTGATGTTCACTTTGATGACTTGATTGTGGGGGTGACTGCCTAGTTTCTTCACTTAAAAGTTACTGTTTTTCTGATCCGGGAAGATATTTTGAGATGATGTAAATCTGCTTCTTATCAAACTCACCGGTTTTCACATCTGTTTATAGTACCATGACGGAGGCGAATGACGGTCGCCTGCGTTCTCTCATTCCTTTTACCCTGCGTTTCTCCAGTCTTAGATGTATGGCCTCTTGCATTCTTACTTATTCTATGGATTATAACGCTTTATTGTTACTTATGTAAATGCTGAAGAATTCCATATTTGGCCAATGGGAAGGCCATTGAACCCGGCTCCTTTGTCCTGTTCATCTACCCCCTTCATTCTTTCCGCACTTTATTCAAACCTCATCTTGTCCTTTCCAGCACTGTGATTCGTAATTCCTCCAAGGAGGCCTGTTCCTTCTGGCAGAGAATGGTATTTAGAAACCAGGGTCCTGCCCTGTAGGTTTGTGGGTATGCGTCTATCTAGGTCTTTTTATATCTCATCTATGTATATGTATGTATTTATTTTATAATTATATAGTTATTTTTAATATTTGAGCGAGAGATAGCCGGAGCAGGGGGGAGGGGCACAGGGAGGAAGCAGCGGACTCCGCGCAGAGCAGGGAGCGGTGCGCCTTCCGCGGTGCCTGTGCGTGTCTCTGTGTGTGTCTCTGTGTTGCCCCGACGGGTCGCGGGGCCTCCCACTTTGTGCGGGTGGCAGAGAGGACCCGGGCTGCGGAGGAACTGGAATTCGCATCGCTCTCTTCTAAAGGAACCCGAGCGACTTGGCGGGCGCTCGAGGGCTTTCCCTACCTCGGCGCTCTGTGCCGCGTGTGGTGGCGGGTTTTCCCTCCCTCCAGAGTGTCTGTGGGCCCCGCCCCCGCAGTTTTAACGGCTCTTTGTGAACTAGGAATACTCGCTCTTGATCAGGAGTTTATGCTTCCTGTGTGACCCCCCCGCCCCCCGCCACCCCCAGTACTTCTAGCCTGGTTTGACGACAGCCTGTCCCGGTACTTCTACCGTAAGGACGCGCTCCGGCCGTCCCGTCCGCGCGGGCTGTGAGGAAGATGCCGTGCGCGCGCACGTGTCTGTCCCGGCGGACGCGCGCGTCAGAAACACCAGGCGCCTGCGCAGGCAGTCGGGACCCCGGCCTTTCCAAGACAGGCTCTCGGGAACCTTCCAAGAGGTGGGGCTGTGGGCCCGCTTCTCCCCGACCTGTTCGCCGAGCTCCGCCGTCTTGGACTTAACTGGTCCTGGTAGCCCACACGCCGCCGGAAAGCCACGGGGCACCGTCCTCGGGGGCGGGAACAGGAAGCGCTCGCGTCCTGCCCGCGCCCCTCCTTCATGCTTCTCGCGTGGACCTTCCCGGAAGGACGCAGGCGGCCCCTCCCCCGGCTGCGGCGTGAGGAGTGGGCTCCCCCCGCGCTCCGAGAGTTCGGAGCACGAGCGGCCCTTGCCTGGCCACCCCGCAGCAGCTGCCCACGAAGGGCAGCTCTGTTCCGGGTCTGCGTGTGCGCCCGAGGGGGCCGGGGCGCGGGCCGCACGGCCCATGGGCTTGCTCGGGCTCGTCGTCTGGCCTCTGGGCCGCCACGCCGCGTAGGAAAGTGATGACGAGAACATTCCACGCAGTCAGACCGTTTGGGTTCAGATTCTGATTCCATCATTTCCCGGAACCCCTGGTCCGTGCGCCCTGGGCATCCAGGCCTCGCTCATGAGCGAGTGACCATGCGGGAAACCTCGGGCTGGGACCTGCCGTGCCGGGTGCCCAGGATAGTTCGCTGTCGCCGACCATCAGCCGCAACAGCAGTGCCCCTGGGACGCCGTGAGGCTTATGAGACTCTGAAGTCCCCATCCTAGGAGCTCCGTAAATTTAGTCCAGTGAGTTCAGAAGGAGAATGGCTTTCAAGTGTCTTTTACTTCTGAGGAAGAAAGCTGGCACCTCGGTGCTGTTTCGTGTTGCGGTAACTGCGTGAGCGCGCAGGGAGGAGGGGGGCGTCCTCGCGCTCAGAGCTCGGCACCTCCCCGGCCGGGATCTCGTCCGCTCAAGCGCTCAGCCAGGGTGATGGATAGCTCGACTCTCGCGAGAGGTTCTAAATTGCCTCACGTGTGGTCTCCCAGATTATTTAATTTGGTTAGAAAGAGGACCCACTCCCTGTAGCAGTTACGAGTTTATTATTCACTCCAGGAAGTGGCCCGCTGACCTCTCCTGATGGCGCACTTTGTCATCCCTGGGCATGCAGCCAGGCGTGAACCGGCCCAGGCTTCCTCGCGTCATCAGAAACGTCCTCAGGGCTCAGCACGCGGTGGGATCTGGCTTTTAGCAGCCACGGGGCACGGACACTGCCAGCTCCTGTTTCTGCGCTCGGGATGGGGAAGAGGATTAGCAATAACGGCAAACTTCTGGTGTTAAAACCAGATGCCAGGGGCGCTTGGGTGGCTCAGTGGGTTAGGCCGCTGCTTTCGGCTCGGGTCGTGATCTCAGGGTCCTGGGATCGAGTCCCGCGTGGGGCTCTCTGCTCCGCAGGGAGCCTGTTTCCTCCTCTCTCTCTGCTTGCCTCTCTGTCCACTGTGATCTCTCTGTGTCAAATAAATAAAATCTTAAAAAAAAAAAAACAGATGCCAGGCACCGTGCAGAGGTTTAAAAGTTGAGTGACACGCATTGCTGGCAGCAGCCCTACCAGCTAAGGGCTTTGGATCCTGCGTCTTATAGAAATGGATGCGAAATACCAAGGAATGCGCGGAGATCGCGGGACATCTGGGGGCATGAGTGCGCCCCTAGCGGCCTGACTGCCGAGCCCCCCCTCCACCCCCACTTTGGCGCCGCTAATGCCTGAGCTGACCGGGCCCCGACCAGGGGGCCTGCGGAGGCAGGAACAGAAGTCAGGAGACGGATTCATCATCAGTGACCCACCATAGGCAGGACACTGATGCCATCTGGCTGTCTCGTGCCCTCAGTGTAGACATTTCCTCTCCAGTGGAGTCGATGCCGCTCTCGTTCCCTGCTTTGGGGGTTCACCCGGTCCTTGTTTTCTGGAAATGTGGCCGGGCCTGCTTAGCATGCTTAGCAGAGCAGTGGAAATGCTCTCAAGCCAGTGCCAGCAAGGTTTTTTTGAGTTTTAAAAAGACTTAGAAGTCCTGTTTCTCCTCCCCTCAAAAGCGGGGAGGGCTTTAAGCAGTTAGTTACTTCTTGCATAAGAAACAAGCCGCAGGACCAGTGAAGACGCTTTGCTAATGAGAAAACAGTATTTGTCTGAAGCATGAGGTTGGAGGCTGTTACATATCAGGAAGTAACTGCGTTTGAGAAAAGAGTGAAATCACCAAAAATTATTAAAAGAAAGGAACTACAAATGAGGAAATAGATGGCAACATCCTGTGCGATTAGAGCAGATGAGATATCTCTTCCTAAAACAAGGCCTAAATCAATAGATTTTAAAAAATGGAGCCAGAGGCGCCTGCGTGGCTCAGTGGGTTAAAGCCTCTGCCTTTGGCTCAGGTCATGGTCCCAGGGTCCTGGGATTGAGCCCCGCATCGGGCTCTCTGCTCAGCAGGGAGCCTGCTTCCCCCTCTCTCTGCCTGCCTCTCTGCCTGCTTGTGATCTCTGTCTGTCAAATAAATAAATAAAATCTTAAAAAGAAAAATGGAGCCAATGTGTAGGCCACCTTTGCTGTGTGCTGAAAGCAGCAAGAAAAAGGACTTATCCCGGGGAAGGAGGGATGGAGAGTAGCTTCCCTAGAATCGAAGAGAACAATCTGCGATGGAGGCTAAAATCCTTCCACTGAAAGCACGGGCATTGTGTGTGCATCTGGCCTCGCTCTGGTGGTGGGATCTCCTGACTCTGCGTGTGATACGCCTCACCACCTCTTCGAGGGAGTGGGTGTCTGCATCCTTGCATGCAGGGGGAGGCTGCCTTGCTTGTTGTCTGCAGCTTATTCCAGAATTCTCTCTCTGCTTCAGGTCTCTGTCCTAGGATGCCCGGACCCAGTGGTGCATGAGATTGCCTATCAATACGGAAAAAATGTGGGCATCGCCTTTCAGGTTGGTTCTCTGCTTTTTAGGAACATGGCCCATTGGCACAGTGGGAAGGGCGACAGTGACACCCAGGGTGGCCATGCTGCTGACATCACTTGTTTTCATTCACTAGCTCATAGATGATGTGCTGGACTTCACCTCGTGTTCTGACCAAATGGGCAAACCAACGTCAGCGGACCTGAAGCTCGGGTTAGCCACTGGCCCGGTCTTGTTTGCTTGCCAACAGGTACGTTTCCCCAACTCCCTCAGAAACGGAGCTTTGTATCTTCCCGGCTCAGCCAATGGGAAGGTTCAGATAAGAAAGATGTGGGAAAGCATTTACCTAAGAGACCTCAGATCTAGAGTTGATCCTGACTTCTGTGACTGAGATGTTGGGACCAGTTATTTTTCTTCTGAGCTTTCTCTGCGCCCTTACCTGTAACACTGAGGATGGACTGTGATGGTCACAGAGGCGCTTCACAGATTAAATTATGAGGATTCCCATGTATTTTAGGCGCTGACAAGGTGAATGGTCTCCACATCTTGATTATGGGACTGGACTTGGGGTGTACCTCAGAGCCCCTTAAAAAGGCACAGGAAGGGCCTCCAAGCATGAGAAATTCTGCAGTTCTAGAAGTTAAATGAGACGCGCTCTCACAGATCCTCAGCCATGGCCTGAAAATGTCAAGAAGTCGGTGGAACGCACTGCTAGAACCGCATAGCTCCTTCCTCAGATTGAGGGACTGTCCATTAAGGAAGGATGTAAAGCTGCCTTCGTAGTTTCCTTAGTGCGGATGAGAGCTTAGGAAGTTCACGTGCTGCAGGGACTGTGAGGCAGGCAGACGTTTCCAGAGTCTGCTCTGGAGCCCGGCCACATCACTTGGGGCTGGGCCAAATGTGGTTTGCAGTAAGTGGGACATTGGCTGGCATTTGGACATCTTTTTAATAGATTTTCATCTTTGTAGTGTATTTAAGCCAGTTAAAACTTAGCAAAGAAATAAGATGTTCATCACCATGCCACGAAATTAAAAATTAGCTCTTTAGTCTAAAATTTTAGTAACTTTTAGTCTTTCTGAGATTTTTGCCTCTGTTCTTTCTCAGAATTTACAAAGATAAACTATGTCTTCCATAGAACTCAGTGATTCCGTTATTGAAACCAGTGACCTTGCTTTTGATCAATTTCTGGTCCAGGAAAGGAGAGTTTTTTGTTTGTTTGTTTGTTTGTTTTTTTGTTTTTTTGACACAGAGAGAGATAACAAGCAGGCAGAGAGGCAGGCAGAGAGAGAGAGAGAAGCAGGCTCCCCGCTGAGCAGAGAGCCTGATGTGGGGCTCGATCCCAGGACCCTGGGATCATGACCTGAGCTGAAGGCAGAGGCTTTAACCCACTGAGCCACCCAGGGGCCCCAGGAAAGATCATCTTTTATCCACTGTCTAGCAGAGCCATAACCTGGGTAATTCTCCTTGGAGGAAGCTGATGGCTTGGGGGGTCTGGGCCAGGACAGCATACTAGTGGATAGCAGTCAACTGAGGAACGAGGGGTCCAAACACAGATGTTGGATTTTAGAAATATCTGTCCTCACTACCAGGCTCTGCCCTCGCAGAATTTGGAGGCAGCGATGAGAAGGAAATGGTGTGCTATAAATGGGTCCTTTCTCCTGTGGAGACTCACTTGCCAGCTCAAAAGGAGAATATTAAAACGTGTGCTAAGTTCTAAAAAAACTTTAGAAAATCCCCTTGTATACGTTAAAGCTGACCAAGGATATTTTATCTTTTCCCATGAGCCCACATAAAAGCAGAGGATTCACGAGTCCTGTAAATGGAAAGGCATGCCCGAGGCTGGAAAGAGCAGACACGGCCTGCCATGTAGACAACTACGAACACTGGTCTGTCTGCTCCCGAGACGCTGGTTAGCAAATGCGAGTGAAGGGTCCTTGAGTGAAGACAGGTTATCAGGATGACTAAGGAACAGGTCTTTTCTGGAAGAAGCTTGCAGTCTACCAGAAAGCTTTGGGTGTCCTACTTTTCGAAGTCGTAGCCGTTACAAGTAATCGCCATGAGCCCCCGTGACACTAAGAGCTGAGTCTGTAGGAGTCTGTGAGATGACAGAGCCGGTGCCTGTCCTGCTTGAATTTGCTTTCCTCCACACAAAGGAGTACGGAGTAATTCTCCCTTAAGATACAGTGGGTCAAAGTCAGGAGGAAAAATGGATCGCTCCTACACATTAATTAGTGAGTAATACATAAGAGATTAAAAATGCTGGTTTAAAAAAAAAATGCAAGGAAAAGGAACACACAATAGCTTACAGCGTCCCCGACCGCGGTGCTACGAGTGTCTCACTGGGAAATGCGGCATCACGAGGCACCCAGTCACCCTCACCAGACAGCGCGTTCCCATCTGCCCATACGGCGGTGGGGGAAGGATGAAAAGCTGCGCACGGCGGCCTCGGAAAAGGGAACAGACCGCGAGGCCGAGAGGAAGTGACTGGGCAGAGCTTGTTTCGCAAGCAGACTCGCCGTTCTGTCCTGTGGCGCTTAGGCCAAAGTGACTCAAAAACGTTGAAGTCGTTTTCAAAGAAAACATCAAGTTGAGGCTCTGTTGTGGATGAAACTGTCAAAAAAGGGGATTCTTGGCCAGAAATGTGTGAAAAGATTTTTACAGGGCCTAACGTGATTTTGAGTAAAACAGATGCCAAAATAACACGAGACTGTGCAGTGTCTCCATTTTACGAAAGTGCGTTGTTCTCCTGGTTGGCAAAGGATTCTTTGATACATTCTCTCTAATCTCACAACTCCTCTCTGTGGTAGGTATTATGCCCACTCTACAAGTAAGAAAGCGATGCGCAAACTTGGCCAAAGTTAAACATCTGGTAAATGGCACAGCAGACAATTACACACCAACTCCTGTAAGAGCAGTGTTCCTTTCGCTCCACGATGTCCGATTCTGGCAGCGTGGACGCTGAGGAGAGCTTGTCTGATCCCCCGTGGGGCTTCCCGCAGAGCAGGTAACTCGTGTGCTCTGGGCCTGGGTCGCTCCGGAAGAGCCTGTGTCAGCTCTCGGGACCTGTCACTAACCTGCCCACTTAGTGGAGTCCTCGTAAGAGGTGTGTCATCTTTTTCCATAGGTGGGTGAGTTTTGTTTGCCAGTTACTTAAATGAGTCTTTGAATTTTTCCATCTGAGAACACTGAGTCTCGACCACAAGCAGCTCTGGGAAACCGCTTACCCTTTTCCACCCAGCTGTTGTTTTGAAATAGGAATTCGTTGGACCCTGCAACTTAATAGAAACTCCCTCTCTTTGAATTCACTATTTCTGACATCACTCTGAAGAGCTCTCTGGATAAGTTAGTACAGGGGATTTAAGAAAAATTTCTGGAGGGGTCCCGGGATGACGGTGCCCTTCCATCTGTGTGTGTACGTGGATCTTCTCTAAGAACAGAGACGTCATGTTAAATCTTTAAAGAGTATGTAAGTTGGAACTTGAGCTCTTCAGAAACAAAATGGAAGTGTTTGGGGGGTTCTTTTTTTTTTTTTTTGGTGAGATTACATTTGTTCTCAAATATCCTTTAAAAGATCTTTTCCTTTCTTCTGTTTCTCTTATTTGATAAAGTCACCAGACCCAAATGTCAGCCTGTAGCCGCACTTCCAGCTGCCATCAGCAGCCCCAGCCCCTGCACCAGCTGTCCTGGCTTCTGTTACTGTTGACTAGCTGTCCCTTAGTTACCCAGGTTTTGTGTGAGTAATCTCGCTACATTTATTGATCACCTTTCTAGTTTAGTTTAGTTTATGGATACATTTCACAGTTAGAATATGATTTGTTCCATTTTTTTTTCCCTAACGATTTATTTTAGAGAAAGAGAGAAAGCTGGGGGGAGGGGCAGAGTGAAAACCCTCAAACTCCCTCCTAAGCATGGAGCCTGATGCGGGGCTCCCTCCCACCACCCCAAGATCATGACCTGAGCCGAAATCAAGAGTCGGACATTCGACTGACTGAGCCACCCAGGTGCCCCAGATTCGTCCTATTTTTAAAAGGTCTCCCTACCCTCAAACTAAAAGAGCCTGGGCAAAAATTTTCTTATTTCTCACGAAATCTGCAAGCAGGCAACTGTTGTTCCCGTTAACGCTTCTCATTTCTTCCCCACATCGCACGCAGTAAGGGGACAGAGGAATGCCTAGGGGAAGAGTTTGGTATTTGCATATTAAAATTGCACACACTACATGTTTAAAGGAAGGATGTAGTCACACTCACTAAAGCAAATATTTTCTTCAAACTTTGCTTTCTCGATGCTTTTTATAATAAAAGGAGTCCGAGAAACCACACAGCACATTTTACCACCCTTGTTGGTACGGCAGAAAGAGCTCATGTACCATAAACAAAGTGATTATCCCAGATGCCCAGAACAGCGTCCTCTCACCTGAGGACACCTGAGGATATGGCCTTCCAATTTTGGAATGCGGTATTAAGGCAAATGTTTACTTGATTTGGCTTTTTACCAACTAAATTGATTGATTTGAGCTTCCTGATAGGTTTCCTATAAAACTTACTCTATTCTTAAAAGGCCAGTAACTAAAACAAATGACCTGTTCTCATTTAAGAACTGACCGTCTGCTGACCTTTACATTTTCTAAGCATGTGAGCAGCCTCTGTGTGTTTAGAACTTTGTTCTGACACATACTTGACTCTGAAAGAACACTCTTAATTCTTCATCTTTCATCATCCGGTTGAGGTTTTTCTATGTGTGCCCTATTTTTTCTTCTAGGATTACTAATACCGTGATGGTGGTTACAGGACAACAACTTCAGGCTCACTGCCAGGGAAAATCTGGCAACTGCTGTAAGCACTGATGTGTCCAGAACCAAACATATCTTACCTCTTATGTCATGGAACCAGAAGCTGTTAGAGCTAACAGGTGTCCGCTCATTTGGTTAAGCTCCCTCACGACACTGAGGAGGAGGTTAGGACCCACAGGTGACAGAGCTCACTCAACTATGGAGGCTCCAGGACTAGGGCTCTGACTAGTCTAGAAAATGAAGGGATCTGGTGTCCTGACTTCCTGGTTGTTAAAGGTGACGATTCTCCTGAATTGTTGCTCCCTACTGCAGAGCATAGGTTGTCTTCAGTGTACCTGTTTCCTTTTCTCTCTTAGTGCCACAGCTTCACTCTGGTCTTTATAATCCACTACAGTAACGTGACTGGCCTCTCTGCCTCCTCTAATTCGGTGGGTCTCAAACTTGACTGCACATGAAAAACACCTGGAGTGCTTTTAAAAGCTTGATGCCCAGGCCAGACCCCGGCCCCGCCCCCACCAATCCGAATCCTTGGGAGCAGATCCAGGCAACCATAAGCTTCCCGACTGACTCTAGTGTGCAGCCAACGTTGAGCACCCTCTGCTCGTAATACCCTCTGCTCAGACACCTCAGTGGCTTCCAAGTGTCACTCAGCTTAGCACTAAAAGTAGAATGCTTAATTCCCACCCTCATCTCGGGCCACTGCTTCTCAGAATGTCAGCAGAATTCGTATCATCCGGGAATCTGCTAGAAATGCATGCTCGGGCCCCATCCCTACTGATCAAGAAACCTTGAAGGAGTGGCCCAGCAGGCCTCTCGTGATTCTGGTGCAGTGTAAAGCTTGAGAACTCTTAGGGCGGTAAGGAGATTTGAGGGATGTAGCTTGTTCGTTCGTTCTTACTCAGTGTTGGACCCAAGACTAGAATAGAAAGAACACCAGAATGAACAAGGATCAGCAGCTGCTTCTCCTGAGCACCCACTCAGCCCCGGGCATGGAAGACGGATGTCTCTTTTAGCTCTGCTTCTTTAATTGCTACAATTTATTACCCCCGCCCCCAAACCATCTAAACATTTAATCACCTTTTTGTTTTTTCCTGTTGTTATAAACTTAGTGTTAGAACATTTGATTCTCACAAGAGCAATAAATAAATATTTTCTTTCTTTATGGCTAGTTCCCAGAAATGAATGCTATGATAATGAGACGGTTCAGTTTGCCGGGAGATGTGGACAGAGCTCGACAATATGTATTACAGGTAAGATCTTTTTTTGAAGATTTTATTTATTTGACAGATCACAGGTAGGCAGAGAGGCAGGCAGAGAGAGAGGGGGGAAAGCAGGCTCCCTGCTGAGCAGAAAGCCCGATGTGGGGCTCGATCCCAGGACCCCGAGACCACAACCCAAGCCAAAGGCAGAGGCCCAACCCACTGGGCCACCCAGGCGCTCCCCAGGTAAGATTATTTTACGAAGAAAGAAGGCAGGAGCAGGTGCAGTGCAGCAGAGTTCTTTAACCAAATAACAGAACAAATTTTAGATGCAAGACCAAGTGTGGTCAATTGTTGACTTGACAAAAACTGAGGAAGAGAAACTTGTATGATTCTTTATTCTTCTAGAACTCTTTCTGAAGACTAATTTAAGTGGTCTTGGGTAAGGTTTGGACATTAGGACTTTTTTAAAACTACCAAAGTGATTTTTTTTTTTTTAAGATTTTTAATTTATTTGACAGAGTCACAGGCAGGCAGAGGCATGCAGAGAGAGAGGGGGGAAGCAGGCTCCCCGCCGAGCAGAGAGCCCGACTCGGGGCTCAATCCCAGGAGCCCGGGATTCCGAGACGAAGGCAGAGGCCCTAACCCACTGAGCCACCCAGGTGTCTCTATGCAAGTGATTCTAATGTGTCGTATGGGCTGAGCCCCGCTGGTTTGAAAGCAGTCTTCCCCAAATCCACCAGCAGCACTGCTGCCCTGCAGGCCCCCAGACAGGCCTCCTGGTGCCAGCTTACCTTTGCCACCACCAGGTTATTGGGTGCTCACAGCCATCACCTCAGTGTGGGCCATCCCTGGCCCCTCCTAGAACTGCCACCAGTGGTCACTCAAGAACCCACAGAGGCAGACTGTTTCACCTTCAGGGGCTGTCAGCTTACTTCAGATATACTGCACATATCCTCAGAACTTTCCTGTAGAAGCCAGATCTTTTGGCGTATTTTCACTTTTCAATAACTGTCTTTCAAGCATGAACTCTTTCCAAAATCTAAACCTGAAGTTATTTGGAGCCAGTAGATCTAATGAATGAGATGGGTGAGCAGTTTTTAGTGAGCTAATGTGTGGTCTGATGTATGGTTAGTGCAGTCCTTCAAATCATTACCTTGCGGATTTCCAAAAAGCAAGACCCCTCCAAAGGATGTATTTCTCTTCAGTCTCATACTGTTAAGCATCATAATGTGCTACCACCTCTTTGGAGGGTAGTCTGGCAGTACTGTTCTAAACTCAGGAGGAGGACTGTAGCTGATAAAGAGGTGATGTACCTGGGAGAGGTTCTGCTGTCAGAATTACTGAAGGCTGAAGTGGGACTGCAAAGAGGGGCAATTAACTGTGGCTTTTAGCAAAACAGTGACGAAGATCCAGCAAGCCTAGACAGACGCGCATTTAGAAAGGTACAAGAATGTTCTCTTAAATTCTCCGAAGACCTCTAAATCCTAACTCCCTTCACCCAGAGCTCCTTCCTAGTCCCTATTCCTTCATTAAATGTGAGTGAACAACTAGGATTTACTTAGTAGAATTACTAAACCCACTGATGAAAAGTTTGGTGAATGAGACCAAGATAAACAGAAATACTCAGGGAAAAATATAAATTGGGGGGGTGAAAAAATACCTATCCATGGAATAAGGTATTTAAAAAAAAAATAAATAAGTACAAGCTCAAAGAATTCTAAGTGGTTGTGAAAAACTAGCTCCAGAGGAGGGTTATAACATGAAATGAACAAATCCTTAAAAACAAACAGCAAGAGAAGAAAATGAGAAAGGCTTTGCGAGGATCAGTATGATGAGGTAACAGGCGTTTCAGGACGAGAATCCAAAAAGAAAATGAAAAGAGTGGTCAGGAGAAGAGTTCAGAACTGGCTCAGTGTACAGTAAAAACCCTGGACGCTATAATAGGTAAGGCCTTCCAAATGATGAGGAAACATTCTAAAGCTAGAATTCTATATCCTTTCAAACCATTCACTGAGTTAAGTCCTCCTTCCACTTACACTATAGAGTTATCTGTGGATGTATTTTAGTAACAACATGGAAACCCCAAGACAGTGTGAAAGCTGTGAGCACTCAAACCAGCGGAATGGGCTGCATCTGATAGAAACCTGCTGGGGATGGCAGCGGGTACAGCTGGAAGGCGGTCAGTCTAAGCAACAAACAGGATGATGAAGGCGGTAGGAAGATCAGGCAGTTACATTCAAAAGTGGGATTTGGTATACTAAGGTAAAGCAAAAATAAAATGCATCCTATTTTGTATCAGTAAAGTACAGAAAATCAGAGGCCTTTCAGAGTGACGTCAGGAATATTCTACTCTGGATGGCAGTGGGCTTGTGAGCTTGGAATGAAGTGACAGTACATGACTTGATTCTGTAGTAAACATATGTACATCATGGAAACCGTGTTTTATTAATGTTCAGCTTTTAGAACCAACATAAAAACATGGCTCCAGAAGAGAATGCAGATCTCTGTAGCATTAAAGAAGGGGAACACTGGTATCCGTGAGATAAAGGAAGTAGTTGGTGTTACATGATGACACAAGTAATAGTACTGAAGATGGTAACAGAATTACCCAATCAGGAGGCGTAGGGCGGCTGGGCTAAAGCCTCACCTTTCTCAGCACAAAGGCAATAGATAATGACTGAAGTTGCTAATTAAGACATTAAAACCAGCAGGTAAAGCCGGGGTCCATGGAAGAAGGGAACTGTTGATTTCCATCATTTGTGCTTTATTATGTATATGTTTTTTAAATTTATAATTTTATCACTTAAAAATCAAATACTTAAGGGAACATAGGTGGCTATTTGATATTAATGAGTTAGTTGTTTTGCACGCTGATTCAATACAAACGTCCTTCCATCTGAGGAAAGTGCCTCAACGCAGTAGGTGTGGAAGTTGGAATGATGAGCTGGGAGGGAGAGACAGCACTGGATCACGACAGAGACATTTTAACTGTCACAGCAAGAATTTAAGAGCTGAGCAGAGAGTGAAGCATCTGTCCTCTTTTGTTCTTTACCCACCAGAGTGACGGTGTGCAGCAAACCACCTACCTCGCACAGCGGTACTGCCATGAAGCAGTACGAGAGATCAGTAAACTTCGACCATCCCCGGAAAGAGATGCCCTCATACAGCTTTCAGAAATTGTCCTCACAAGAGAGAAATGACAACTCTTTCTGCTGCTTCTGGCAGCTATTCCACCAGACCGTGCCTAAAAAATTCTGTGAAATATTCTTTGCTTCATGTGCAGGTAACCAAAAATCATTTCAAAAAATCATTTCAACGTTATCGATGGGCAATTTTTTTATTGGCAAAGTTTTTCAGAAAACTTTTTAAATGGAATTAAACCATCCAAATCTGTCACTCTAGTTCTGTAAATTCTAATCGAGGTATCTTGATGGTTATATGTGGTATTGTTTACACTGTTAAGATCCACATGTAAAGCATTACACAAATAAATAATCAATGTTAAAATTCAAATGGTTTATCGTGTTTCACCATAGGAGTAAAGGTCACAAAAAATGTGAAGTCTACATTTCAATCCACATTAGATTTTAACAGTATCCAAAATTTCATATAGGAGAATGGTTTATTATAAAAGACTGTACATAAAATTTAGACAACAGGTTATATACAAAATTAAGAGAACATTCCACTTGAAAAAATGAAAAAGGTTGCTAGCTGATCACTAGTGATAATGAAATCATGTTTAAAATTAACAAAGGCAAAATGCATATCCAACAGTCACATTGATTTGGTAGCAATAATGGCCTTTAATTTTCAGAAATAAATGTTCTGCACTAGTCTTACCATTTACTATGCTGTTACACGTCTGTAACGCCCAGTACGTAACTGTAATTTGAAATCCAAACAAATCCTCAATACACAGAAACCCACACTTGAGTGCTCTACTTTAATATCCTAGGCAATATTGAATTACACACAAGGTAACAAAAAAACATCCCTCTAACCTTCCCTTAAATTAAGAGGAGACACACAAAGTGCATGTGTTGCATTTCAGTTGTTTCAAAAGACAATATAAATCTGTTGGGTCAGGGATATCCCCCGTTCACTGATTATATATGATCCACCTTTTTTCAAATTATTTTCTTAAAACATTTTTATGTTGCTAGTGCCAGGTAATGGATTAAATAGCGCCTATTCAAAAGTCAATTGCACCCACTTCTACAAAAACAACATGTAAAAGATAATTTCCTTTCATTGAACCCAGTATACAACAATCCACTGGAAAACCGAAGGACTGATATGGCAGTCCTCAAGAATTTTACTTACAGAATGTGCATACTTTAACACATTTTCTTAGCTTTGAAAAAGTTACTTTAGAAAAGGAATTCAGCAGATTGACTTGTAAATACCCATCTCAGATTTTAAATCTGCAAAAATCAGTCACTGCCATTGGGACAGGTTGAGATAAGGCTAATATTTTTTTTCCAAGTTAATATATTGAGAAAATAGAACCATAATTCTGCAATAAATCAGTATCTTTATTTATTTATTCATTTATTTATTCATTTACCTATTTATTTTAAAAGCAAACCAGTGAAGGAAAGGACAAAAACCTTTGGTTCACTTATGTATTTATGAATGGAAAAAATTTATAATGCAAATTCACTCATTAAAAAACTTAGGTACAAATTACAACATTACAGATAACCCTTTGTTTTGTTTCACATGGAGACCTTAGAGACTCAATTCATTTCAAGAGACCGAAGTACGAGTACTCCAAGTAAGTATTACACAAATTGGAAGCATCTTGGATTTTTTTAAGTATATTTCAATACATAAATTTGTATGCATGCTTTAAACAAATAGCATATTTCAAGAATGAGAAAGTCTAAACAAAAAGTATGACCAGCACCAGGATTGAAATTTTCTGATTTTAATATTAGTCTGACATAGCGTTAGTAACCATGCTGCACTGAACATGTAATGGTACAATCTGAATCATGATTTGTTAAATATTATACCCCACACCCCCAGAATACTTAAGCTGGTCATAAAGTTAACTGTGTAAGTAAGCACATAAGCATAGTCAGTTACAGACAGCCTCTTGTATAAATTGCTGTTTAGCAATTCACAAACTGCCTCAAAGATGTATGCTTACAGGTAGACATTCATTTATATCAATAAAACAGCATGTCCTGAAAGTATGGGCACATTTTAAAACATTTTAAGACAATTCTGTTAACCATAATAGTCCCACAGTATGACTGAGTAATAAGAACCACCTACTTTAAAAGCAAAAAATTTAATCAGTATAGTGCATGATTGATTCAACATAGTTCCCAGGGAACAGACCAGTCACTCGATTGCAGACTCCTTCATACCAGCCGTCGTCATTCTTCTTTATTACGTAAATGATTGCACCCTCCATAAATGATAGCTCATCATCCTTGTCTTTTGTATAATCATATATTGCCACAACTATGGAAAGAACAGCGGAAATGCCATGGTAAGTGCACTATTTCCAACATTTAACTGAATTTTTAAATGCAATGCCAGTTAAATCGATAGTATAGCAAAACCAACTATTTGTACAAATTCTGTTAATTCTTACATTGGTAAAAACAGGTTAAGTCGGTGGCCAACCATGTTCCTCAATCACTGGCTTGATGGTAGGATCAAACTGACAACTTGGCTAGAGAGAAGTCCACAGTTCCAACCAATCTATCCAGGATCCCTGAATTTTCGTATTTATTAGATGTTTCAATTGTTTAAAAATCGACTAAGTGCCAACCATTGCAAAACACCATATTCCAAAATAGGTAGTGGGCAAAGCTACAGAGCTAATCAGTAAATCAGGTAACAACCCAACCTAATTTGGAAATTATGCATATCCTGGGAGGTCAATCTCATCCTACTCATCCACAGAAAATATGCATGTAATTTATGGAGGCATACCTAGATTGTTTAAAAGAGTATTTACATACGTTAAAAGTCAACGGGATATTTTTTAAAGGGGGGAATAGGTGAGCAAAGACCCATTAATTAAGACTTAGAGAACAGTTTCCAATTCTCTGGTTTTGATTACTTTGAGTTCAAAATGGTCACTTCCTTTATGAACAGTGCCGTGGAAAAGACAGTCATCAAAACATTACTAGTCTTCCAAACAGGTTTATAAATTTAACTGTTCCTTCATTCTGCCTTTATAGCCTGATAGTTCTGAAGTTATATGTTAATTTTCCAGTATATGTGAAACGGTATGTGTCAGAGATGTTCATTACTTCGTGTTATCTTTTTTCTGAAAACACTGCTTATGGCGCTTAAGATATTTTGGAACTTGCTTTTCCCCTGAGAAAGGTAACTTCTCCTTCTGAATTAGTGAATTATAAATAAGGAAGAGACCTAAAGTACCGATCCATAGCACCATTCACAAAATTTAAAATAGGCAACCTTTTTTTCCCTTTACAAAACCATATTAAGTAAACTCAAGTCCATTCTCCTGCATTTTAATTCTGCAGCAGAATCATAGTTAAAGGTCACTGACCTATCCAGTTTCCAAAAAACCCAAAAACATACAGAATAAATAGTACTAAATTATTATCCTGTTACTACTTTTGCCTACATAACCATTCAAGAAAACAGAGTGATTACTAGAAAATCATTAGTAAGGAAAATACTGTAATAACTTAGTTAACATACTACTTACTAATCTGTCAATTATTTATTATTTATTAGCTTTGGTAACATTAATTTCTTTGTATTCACAGTCACAATACGTTAGAGTCTGGGTGTGTAGAGAACTTTCAGACTAATCTTGACAAAAGCCTGATACCCTCAAAGTTAGCAGAATGAAAGCTTTTTTTCCCTCATGTTTTTAGTTCCACTTAGACAAAGAGCTGGTAACAGTACTGAACCCAAGTCCTTCTGTAAATGAATCCTAGTCGTACCCAACTTCCCCTCCCCAATGCATATATATTCTCTCCTACAATAATCCTTACTGCTGAGTACTTAATCATTAACAATTCAATGTCCACTCCACTCTCCAGAATCCTAACTCATACAAAGAGCTAAACTCCTACTTCTACATGATAAAAATTTGAAGACAGCTACCTAGTTCCCCTGCAATCTTCTCCTCAACTTAGAAACAGTGCTTTCAACTGTTTCACATTATAGGTGCACTTCCTAGGTATTTTGTCTTCTGATACTCTCCTCTTGACATTCCAATTTGCACGATCTTAAAATGTGGTACTCAAAAGTAGACATAATGTAGTGTAATATAAATGGATATGATCAGATTGGTATATATATCTATATTATATATATATGTATACATTGTGTATATATAGCTCACAGTTCAACTAATGTACTCTAAGAATTTGGCTTTTGGAACATTCATGTCATATTGTTGATTAATACATTCAAGGAAATTTCTATTAAACCATCTTAATTCATCTTGTGATTATAAAGAGGACTATTTAAAAAGACTTTAAATATAATCCTCTAAATCTCAACTCTCTGACGTAGACTACAGATCAGCCAACAATGGCCACTGGCCAAATCCAAACCATTGCTTTTTTTGTAATTTATTAAAACTTCGTTTTATCTGAACATGGACACATCCGCTCACCTAAGTACTCTCTATGGCTGCTTAAGGGCTGCAAGAGTAGGGCTAAGTAGCTGTGAAAGAAGAGACTGTATGGTTGGCAAAGTAAAAAATATTTCATGTTGTAATACAAACGTGTCAAGTTATTATGTTGTACACCTGAAGACAATGCTGCTGTGTTAATTATGTTTAAAAAGTTAACAATATTTATTATCTGGTCTTTTACAAAATGTGTGATGACCACTAAAGACTATTATTTCAACTCGTAAAGACATTTTGTAATTCTGCTCTATTGCCAAGTGTCTTAACCACTGTATCATTTTAAATTTATCAATTTTTATTAGTTCCATATTAATCCCAATTTAAAGTTAAATTTGCTTTTCCAAACCAGGAGATAAAGGTACACAACTCAAGACTATGTATGTTTATCAACCTCAGTATAACCACCACCTATCTCTATTTAAAGGCAGAGGAGAACCTAAACATAAAGTAGAGAATATATTCCAGATTTCCGGAACAGTATGTAGAATATTCACTGTTGAAAAATATTTCAAAAGGTACAGCGTAGAGAGTGTAGTCAATGGTATTTTAGTAGCTTGTACAGTGACAGATGGCAGCCACAATTGTGGGGAGCACAGCATAACCTACAGAGAAGCTGAATCATATGTTGTAAACCTGAAACGAATATAACACTGTGTGTCAACTACTCAAAAAATTTACACACACAAACACACAAATATACACACAAAAGGAAAACAGCAAATTCCCTTTTAGCCATGTATTCAAAGCCGGCACAGGACAGCGCTGTGGTCCCGAGCTACAGCTACTTGTTCAACGTCAGTGAACCGAGTAAAGGCCAGTGCGAGGGAAATGTGTTTTGAAAGCAATCCAATGTGCTTAATCTACATTACAA